TCGATCTGAAGCGGCCGAACAAAGTTCGAGTCCAGCGGAACCTTTTAAGGCCAACAAAATTCTGGCTATAAGCTTTCGCGTGCAGGTACACTTGTAAAGATAAAGGTAAGGGTTCCCTTGCTCGAAAGCCAGTCGAGTCTGACTCTAGGGTTGCGGTGCTCATCTCCGTTTCAAAGCCGAAGAGCCAGCGCTGTCCAAAGACGTTCCCGTGGTCATGTGGCCGGCATGACTAAACACCAAGGCGCACGGAACGCTGTGACCTTCCCACCGAAGTGGTCCCTATTTATCTACTTGCAATTTCTTGCTTTCGAACTGCTAGGTTGGCAGGAGCTGGAGCCAGAGACGGGAGCTCACTCCGTCATGCGGCACACTCGGGTCTCAAACTGCTGGAACTGCCGACCTTCCACAGCCTGCAGTTCAGCGTCTTAACCACTTGAGCCACCGCAGCTCCAGGTACACTTGTACGTGCACACAAAAGCTTATACCCAGTATAAAATGTTGTTGGTTTTAAATGTGCCACTGGACTCAAACTTTGTTGTAGAGTGTAGAGAAAATTACATTTATGTGTAGCATTCGGCGCACGCTGCAGATACAAAGGCCCACCTGCATACAACGTCCCTCCTTTGCACTGTGAAGCTCATTGAGACCATCCTGAGCTGGCAGAACACACAGAGAATTTCTCTGGAAAGGTAAAAAGGTTTCCCTTGCTCGAAAGCCAGTCAAACCCGTTGCGGTGCTCATCTCCATTTCCAAGCCGAAGAGCCAGCGCTGTCCGAAGACTTCTCCGTGGTCATGTGGCCGGCATGACTAGACGCCAAGGCGCACGGAACGCTGTTCCCTTCCCACCGCAGCGCTACCTATTTATCTACTTGCAATTTCTTGTTTTCGAACTGCTAGGTTGGCAGGAGCTGGGGCCAGAGACGGGAGCTGACTCCGTCGCGCGGCACTCGGGTCTCGAACTGCCGAACGACCGACCTTCCAGTCGGCAGCTCAGCGTCTTAACCTCTGAGCCACCGCGGCCCTTTCTCTGGACAGGTAGCATACAAATTCCCTAAATAGATAACCTTTCCGTGTGGATTCAGGATGTGGCTTCAGGGTCACTGCCTTGATCCTTGTGATATGCTGCCCACAATTACAGCTCGATCGGAACAGATAATCTCTCTGCCTCGGGAAAGGATTGTGGAAGACGAGACTGAATTTCAAACCGCTTTTGACTTGTCACAGGAAGCTTGAAAGGATGTTATAGGTGTTGTTATATGCCCCTCCCCCCCAAAAAAACCTGAATGTTAGGAAATACCGTCTATTGCACAAGCAATAGAAAAGTTTGCACAGCGCTACAGCACAGCAGGTGCTACAGGAGCTGCGGTGGCTCAAGTGTTTAAGACACTGAACTGCAGGCTGTGGAAGGTCGGTAGTTCAGCAGTTCGAGTCCCGAGTGTGCCGCATGACGGAGTGAGTTCCCGTCTCTAGTTCCAGCTCCTACCAACCTAGCAGTTTGAAAGCAAGAAATTGCGAGTAGATAAATAGGGACCACTTCAGTGGGAAGGGAACAGCGTTCCGTGCGCCTTGGTGTTTAGTCATGCCGGCCACATGACCACGGAAACGTCTTCGGACAGCGCTGGCTCTTCAGCTTTGAAACGGAGATGAGCACCGCAACCCTAGAGTCGGATTCGACTGGCTTTACAGCACAGTAGTCCTTCTCACGCTTCCAGCACTGCAAACCTCCCGAGTGGGCAGGAGGACCTCTTCGGATGCCGTTTCATTTTTCTTGTGCAACTCTCTCGTGGGAAGCGTGAAATAGCTATTTTGTGAAGACACACCTTCCATTATTATTTTTTTAAAGTATAAGCCAATTCAGGGCACATCAGTAGAGGCAGAACTCCCACACAGGTAGGGTGGAAAGGTGTTATAAGTCAATTCTACTCCATGCTCTGGATAGAAATATGGAGCAGAGGTCCATCAGTGGATGTTAGCCACAAGGTATAGATGGAACACTCTGTCTGGGGCAGTGATGCTCTGTCTTCGTGGTGCTTGGGGGGCAACGGTGGGAGGGCTTCTGGAGTTCTGGCCCCACTGGCAGACCTCCTGACGGCACCTGGATTTTGGCCCCTGTGTGCCACAGAGTGCTGGACCCAATGTTCCATCTAAGCTGTGGAGTCTTGTGAGCAAAAATTCTACTCTGTGAGCCGCTGGCATTAAAGTTGTGAGCAAACGATTTGGCTGCTGCATAAGTTAGTCCGCTCTGGAGCCATCCTGCCTGAGCTAAGACAAAAAATTGTGAGCCGGAGGCTAAAAAAATGTGAACTAGCTCACACTAACTCAGCTTAGAGGGAACACGGGACCTGACCCAACATGGCTTCTCTTATGTAATGTCTGGGGCAGTGATGCTGTGTATTCTTGGTTCTTGGGGGCAACAGTGGGAGGGCGTCTGGAGTTCTAGCCCTGCTGGTGGATGTCCTGAGGGTCCCTGGGTTTTGAGCACTGTGTGACACAAAGTGTTGGACTGGATGGGCCGTTGGCCTGACCCAACATGGCTTCTCTTATGTTCTTATGTCTGGGGCAGTCATGCTATGTATTCTTGGTTCTTGGGGGCAACACTGGGAAGGCGTCTGGAGGTCTGGTCTCACTGATGGACCTCTGGATTGCCCCTGGGTTTTGGCCACTGTGTGACACAGAGTTTTGGACTGGATAGGCCATTGGCCTGATCCAACACGGCATCTCTTACGTTCTTATGTCTGGGGCAAGTGATGCTCTGTATTCTAGGTGCTTGGGGGGCAATGGTGGGAGGGCTTCTGGAGTTCTGGCCCCACTGGTGGACCTCCTGAGGGCCCGTGGGTTTTGGACACTGTGTGAAACAAAGTGTTGGACTGGGTGGGCCATTGGCCTGACCCAACATGGCTTCTCTTATGTTCTTATGTTCACACTTACAGCACACACAGGACTGGCCTTTGGAAATGTTTGCTCTTATATATCTCTGTCCTGCTCCAAGGTTCTGTATACCTAAGTGGCTGAATATTGTCCCCCAAGGAAAATATGAGATTCTGCCCCACCGAATTCTGAGCAGTGGCTCCTTTTCAGAGTTTTAAAGACAACAGTTCTGACAACTGACAAGAGAACGGACTTCTCAGAGCATGGACTAGTGAAAATATTAACAAGATTGTCGCCACTGTTCCTTTCAAGGTAGATGTCTCGGGGATGAGGTCTCCCATCCAAGTACTAACCAGGGCCGACCCTGCTTCGCTTCCGAGATCCGATGAGACTGGCCTAGCCTGGGCCATTCAGGACAGGGCAAAAGACGTTCAGAGGTGGTCTGCCATTGCCTGCCTCTGCATCCTGCCTCTGGACTTCCTTGGAGGTCTCCCATCCAAGTAAGAACCAGGGCTGACCCTGCTTAGTTTCGAAGATCATAATGCCCCTGTACAAATCAATGGGCTCAGGGGCCCCCCCCCCACTCCAGCCGACGTTGGCGCAAGCTCACACCGTCGGCGGGCGGCGGCACCTCCTCGCCAAACCACCCCGTAACATCCCGGGGCATGGGGCAGTGGGGCAAGGAGGCGGTGCCGCCCGTCAATGGTGCGAGCCCGCACCAACATCGGCCAGAGCGGGGAGTGGGGCTGAGCAGCGAGACAGCGCCCTGAGAGAAAGCGCAGCTCCCCGGCCCTCCTCCACCACCGCAGCTGCTCCATCCCAGGCGCGGGGCAGTGGGGCGAAGAGGAGGCGTCGCCTGCTAATGGTGTGAGCCCACGCCGACATCGGCCGGAGCGGGGAGGGGGGCTGAGGGGCGAGACAGCGCCCTGCTGGAGAGCAGTTTGGCACCCTAAGGGCCGACTCACGCTCTAGGCGAATGCCTAGTTCGCCTAGCGGGTGAGCCGGCCCTGGGTGCGACCTCTTTTGGAATACCGTGTACAGTTCTGGTCACCACACCTCAGAAAGGATATGAGAGTATTGGGAAAAGTGCAACTAGAATGATAAAAGGGTTGGAACACTTTCCCTAGGAAGAAAGATTAAAGCGCTTGGGGCTCTTTAGCTTGGAGAAACGACGGCTGAGAGGGTGACATGATCAAGGTTCATAAGACTATGCACGGGATAGAGCAGGTCGAGAAAGGTACTTTTCTCCCTTTCCCACAGTACAAGAACTCATGGGCACTCCATGAAATGGCTGAGCAGTCGGGTTAGAACGGATAAAAGGAAGTCCTTCTTCACCCAAGGAGGGATTAACACGTGGAATTCACTGCCACAGGAGGTGGCGGCGGCTACAAGCATGGACGGCTTCAAGAGGGAGTTAGATAAACATATGGAGCAGAGGTCCATCAGTGGCTCTTAGCCACAAGGGATAGATAGGAACTCTCGGTCTGGGGCAAGGGATGCTCTGTCTTCTTGGTGCTTGGGAAGGGGGCAACAGTGGGAGGGCTTCTAGTGTCCTGGCCCCACTGGTGGACCTCCTGGTGGCCCCTGGTATTTCTGGCCACTGTCTGACAAGAGTGTTGGACTGGATGGGCCATTGGCCTGATCCAACATGGCTTCTCTTATGTTCGCATGTCTGGGGCAAGGGATGCTCTGTATTCTTGGTGCTTGGTGGGGGGGTCAACAGTGGGAGGGCTTCTAGTGTCCTGGCCTCACTGCTGGACCTCCTGGTGGCACCTGGTATTTCTGGACACTGTCTGACAAGAGTGTTGGACTGGATGGGCCTTTGGCCTGATCCAACCCTGGCTTCTCTTATGATCCAATGAGTCTGAGGCAGCTTGGCCCACCCAGGTCAAGGCAAGAGATATTCGGAGGTGGGTCTGCACTTGCCTGCCTCTGTGTAGCCACCCTGGACTTCCTTGGTGGTCTCCCATCCAATTACTAACCCGGGCTAACCCTGCTTAGCTTCCAAGCTCTGATGAGATCAGGCTGGCCTGGGATATCCAGGTCAGGGTGATGCAGATATTATTTAGATGACTATTTCGATTGTGGTCACTGCACATTCATCATCACAGCCCTTCGTTCAGCTTCCTTACCTTGCCCTGATGATCGTGCTTCATTTCCCAGCCCCTCGGCAACTCCAGCTGCTTGTTGGCGAACATGTTCAGAAAGCCCACCAAATCGCGGTTGTGCTGATAGCGCTCAAAGTGGTGGGTATCCCGTCGGACTTTGGTGATCATGTGCTTCAGACACGTATTGTTTGTAAACATGCGGTAGGCACTCTGGGAGGGAGGGAGAGAACAGATAAATATCATTACTACTGTCAGAATCATTTTTAGTTTGAATGCAGAAGTTGAAGAAGAAGAGGAGGAGGAGGAGGCGATTGGATTTATACCCCACCCTTCACTTGGGAGTCTCAGAGCGGCTTACAAACTCTTTTCCCGCCCCTCCCCACAACAGACACCCTGGGAGGTAGGCGGGGCTGAGAGAGCTCTTTCGAGAACTGCCCTTGACAGAACAGCTCTGACAGAACCATGGCTTGCCCAAGGTCATCCAGCAGCTGCAGGTGGAGGAGTGGGGAAATCAAACCCGGTTCTCCCAGATTAGAGTCCGTGCACTTAACCACTACACCAGACTGGTAGGGCTGAGAGAGATTTTTTGAGAACTGTTGTTTCCAGAACAGCTCTGAGAGAACTTGTGACTGACCCAAGGTCACACCAGCGGCTGCATGTGAAGGAGTGGGGAATCAAACCTGGTTCTCCCAGATCAGAGTCCGCGCTCCTAACCACTACACCAAACTGGCTCTCAGGAAGCTCTGAAGTTATTCACCAGCTTAGGAAAACTAAGAATCATTCTTGGCTCTGTGGCAGGACACTTGGTTTGTATGCCGGAGGCCCAAAGTCCCATCCCTGGCATCTCAAGTTTAAAGAGCTCGTGTGCTGGGAATGCATTTTGGGAAAGGCCTGCTGCCCAGCAGAATAGACAGATGGAGTCATGATCTGGTTCGGTATAAAACAGCTCCACGCGGTCTTATATGTTATACCCTTGGTCACATATCTTACACTTTCAGTAGGCCTGCTTCTGAACCTTCTGTGGTCCATTTCTGTCTTGCCTATGAGGATGGAGAGACCTACACTTCCAAATATGAATGTAAAGCCAGAACCGTGTAGGCATGGCTCTCAAACCCATTTCGAAAGCTGAAGCTCAGCCCGGGCACGTTAAAAGTGGCAGTCGGCTCATCCAAACTGTTGTTCCGCCTCCACTGGAAACGCAACCTCTCCCGATACACAGCTGCAGTTACGAGAAGAGGGTTTCCCCAGAATGGATGGCGTGACCTCTGGGCACCTCTGGATCCCAGACTCTTGTTTTCATTTTTTTAAAAAATAATCAATTGCAACTTGTCTCGCGAATGAATTCATCACCTGAATCGACATCCGAGTAAAAGCACCAAAACGCTCCCCAAATTATACTTTGCTCTGATGCCTTACGGATTTAAACAATACAGGGAGTTCTAAAATTACCATAATGGCTTCATTTAACATGTTTTAATTTAAAAATCCTAGGCTCTATCAGTTTACAGGGCAATTATACCAGTGGGAAGCTCAGGATACTTTTCCCGCTGGCTTAAAGCCAATGAGTAAAACTCCTTAGAACATGTTCATGCAGAAACGAAGGCAAACGTCAGCACGGCATTTCCACCGACCAAGTTCCCAGCTTGAGTCCAATCTGATGGAGTCAAGGGATCTATCCTGTGAGGGCCAGGGTGGTTACGAACGGCCAACTCTAATCTGCAGAACTGGGTTTGATTCCCCACTCCTCCTCCACATGAAGCCCGCTGGGTGACCTTGGGCCCAGTCACAGTCCTCTCTGAACACTCTCAGCCCCACTGACCTCACAAGGTGCCACTTGCGGGGAGAGGAAGGGAAAAGGCGATTGTGAGACTCCTTAGGGCAGAGAAAAGTGAGGGGGGGGAACCCTACTCTTCTTCTTCTTCGTCAATGAAGGCCCAGCGAAAAGTCTATCCCGCTCTTCCACTAAAAACAACTTGACTCCGTGGTGTTTGCAGCATGACATCAGGGACCTAGAAGTTTGAGCAACTAAACAAAGGGATAAGATAACATCTAGTTACTACAAAGTGCACAGTAAATGTCGATTAAAAACAAAGATTAAAAACCACGAGGTAGTGGGTATCGCGTTACATCCACATTTTAAAAAATCTTTGCCTCTTTTGCTTTTAATCTATATCCGCTGTGCACTTTGTAATAAATCTTGTTGTTGTTGTTCAGTCACACAGTCGAGTCCGACTCTTCGCGACCCCATGGACCACATCACGCCAGGCCCTCCTGTCTTCCGCCTAACTCCGGAGTGTGCTCAACTTCATGTTCGTTGCATCGATGACACTGTCCAACCATCTCATCCTTTGCTGTCCCCGTCTTCTTTGACCTTCAGTCTTTCCCAGATTTTGTATTTTGTAATAAATAGATGCATCTTATCCTTTTGTTTAGCTGCTCCACCTTCCACGTTCCTGACTTGCTTCTCGGGGTGGTTCTCTACCCCCCCCCCGGCCTTTTGCTGTTCCCGTTACAGCATTCCATTGCAGAAAACATGGGCAAGTCCACTATGGTTGCCAGCCTCCGGGTTCGGGCAGGGGACCCCCTGGTTTTGGGGGCTGCACTCCGCCGCAGACCAGCTGGCAGGTGGGGGAAGCCCCTCCCCTAAACGGGGGTGTCACTGCATGATGTTCTCGATGCAATGACATCACCCGGAAGTGACATCATCATGTGGGGGGGGTCGCACGGGACGCTCTGGTATTTGGGCAAACTCTATGGTTTTGAGGGTGAAAAAAACCACAGTTTTGCCCGAATACCAGAGTGTCCCTGTGTGACGCCCCCCCGACACAATGACGTTACTTCTGGGTGATGTCATCGCATCGGGGACATCACACTGCGTCCCTGCTCACCCCTGGAACACCCCCCAAATCCCCCTGCTGGAGGAACAAAGAGACTTGGCAACCAATGTTCCCTCTAAGTTGTGAGCTCCTGGCATTAAAGTTGTGAGCGAGCGATTTGGCTACTGCTTAAATTAGTTTGCCCTGGAGCCACATCCTTCCTGAGCGAAGACAAAAATGTTTGAGCCAGAGGCTAAAAAACTGTGAGCTGGCTCACACTAACTTAGCTTACAGGGAACACTGCTGGTAACCATAAAGTCCATAGAAACCGGGGAGAAACTGCATGCATCAGCATGTACAGAATCCATCTCTTAACTAATTCTTCCATTCTATCTTGTTTTTGTTTTAACATGTTATTAATTTTATGATGTAGAAAAATATTAACAGAAGGATCACTTGCGACAACGATATTTTCTCCCTAATGGTTACAGTACTGAGGGGAAAGGGTGCTTTCATTTTCGCCTTTCTGTATTCTGTCCCTTTTTCAATCCTGACCCCTCAACCACCACAGGACGGACCTCCCAGCATCTTTCTTTGTCCTACTGTTCCTTCTCCCAATTACTCTACTGCCCTCCTTGGCCCAGAGTTGGGAAGCGTTAAATACCTGCTCAAAGCTCCTAGAAGAACTGCTTCCCTCTGGTCCCACAGAATGTCCTGGTTCACGGGACATCCCTCAGCCAGTCAGCTGTCTAGCTTTTGGTGACAGACTCCACCCACTGTGAGAATCAGCCCCCCCCCCACTTGTGGGCTTAGAGGGAACACTGCTGGCAACCATAAAGTCCATAGAAACCAGGGAGAAACTGCATGCATCGGCATGTACAGAATCCATCTCTTAACTGATTCTTCCATTCTATCTTGTTTTTGTTTTATGATGTAGAAAAATATTAACAGAAGGATCACTTGCGACAACGATATTTTCTCCCTAATGGTTACAGTACTGAGGGGAAAGGGTTCTTTCATTTTTGCCTTTCTGTATTCTGTCCCTTTTTTTATCCTGACCCCTGAACCACCACAGGACGGACCTCCCAGCGTCTTTCTTTGTCCTACTGGTCCTTCTCCCAATTACTCTACTGCCCTCCTTGGCCCAGAGTTGGGAAGCGTTAAATACCTGCTCAAAGCTCCTAGAAGAACTGCTTCCCTCTGGTCCCACAGAACGTCCTGGTTCACGGGACATCCCTCAGCCAGTCAGCTGTCTAGCTTTTGGTGACAGACTCCACCCACTGTGAGAGTCAGCCCCCCCCCC